CGGGCGCTGTCGGAGGTGCTCTGGCGCGACTGGCGCTGAGACCTCGCGGGCTGGCACGGACAGGCGCTGCTGGGCGCTGTCGCGTGCACTAGGGGCTGCGGTGCCTCGCGTACGCTACACGCGGGCACGGACAGAGGCACGGCCTGGCCTCTGCGACGCGGCACGGGCGCGGCACGCGCGACTGGCGCGCCTGGTGACCCTAGCCGGTCCTTTGCTGAACTTCCGGCAACTTTGTCGGGGACTACTGAACCAAATCAATCTAATATGACATAATATACTCAAAATTGCCAAAAGTCCCTGAGAGACCTCGGTTGGATTTGGTGGTAGGCTTATAGGGCCGATTAGGCACGAGGCCACCCTAGGGCACAAAAATGAACATGCTCAACATGAAAATTGACCTAGGGCCGAATGATATACATCAAAAATCATGGCTAATGAGGCTAGAACATTGGTCAATACATGCACGCACATATACTCAGGTTCGGGGGTGAAAATGGCTCGATTTCACTTAACTAATTGACCGAACAAATGAACTCAAAGCATGAAACTGTTTTAACCATGTCATACTCATGATTTTTGAGGATTTTTAAGCTCGTGATCTCGGCCATATCATGCATGTGCTCGAATTTCTGAAATTAGGGCTTGCATTTTTGAAAACTCATATCTCCTTCTTAAGTACATGCATGGCATCATTTTATTACATGATAATTTCTATTATATCATGAATAAGTTAGGAAAAATGGTTGGCACAAGCTAACCTTGCTCAAAAGTCGAAATGGAGCTAATGGACTTTGCTCGGGGATCTCGCGGCACTAGAAACTTAGCCTCGGCTATGGGGCTGAAATGGCTGAAAGGATACACTCTGGACACTTAGAAAAATCCAAGTGATAATTGGATAGTGCTAAGTCTCGAGAGGGAATGGCTGGAACAAGAGCAACACGAGTTCTTCTCTTCCCCGGGGCACACTCGCGCGCGGCAAGGCTAGGCACTAGCTCTCGGTTTTTCCCTCAACAAATCTTAAGTGCTGATGATAAAGAAGTGTCCAAGAGTTGGGACAATGATGAGGAAGTCCCTAATATGGAGAGAGGGGCGGAGGTCACGAGGCTTCAAGGAGGGGGGGACAAAATGTCCACATGCGCATGGGTTGGTGGTCTTGGACTGAAATGGCACGGATTCCTGGAGCATATGCAGGGCATCTTGGACTAAATAAATGCCTTGGACAGGCCTTGGTCGGGTTGGAGGTAGTGGGGGACAAGGCACAACATAAACAATTGCAAATGGCCCCTCCCCTCATATTTAAATAATCCCTAATGCCCATGTGACATCCTTAATCATTTCTTAGGGCATCCTAAGCTGAATTAGTCCTTAATCCAGCCCTTAACACACGCATGAAGTTGGGCCCTGGAGAAGTGGGCCGAAATTAAGGGAATTGGGCCCAAGAAGTGGGCTGGTGCGCTGCCCGCGCTGGGCCCTGGGCGCTGTCTGGGCTGTCGGGGCACGGGGCCTGGGCGCGAGAACTGCTGGCCCGGGCTGCGCGCGAGAAAAACACTTGGGCCGATTATGCCACATGCTTAGGGCTGGAAAAAGAGTTCTCCACACTTAGGAAAATTCCAAAGGTGTTTGGCCATGACTTGGGCCACCATTCTTGACTCGCGTGAGGCTAGGGTGCGGGCACTAGGGCGCGACTCATGGCCCGGGCTCGGTGTACACTTAGACCGAGGCTAACCCTTGGCTAGGGCTGAATTTGTGGCACAATAAGGAACCCCGAAATACTTGGAAAAATTATGCCACATTACTAACCATGACTTGGGCACTCACGGCTTGGCGAGGCACGCGACCCTTGTGCGCGAGGACTAGGACCCGTGCACGAGCTCGGTGCGGGGTTAGTTAGGCCGAGGGAATGATATCGAAGGCTCGATAAAAATGATCTCATACTTAGAAAATATTCTAAGTAAGGCTATGAGCATGGCTAGGGCTCGAACAAGACTCGAGACAACTAGGGCTCGAGAATTGGCTAGGCGCGAACTAGGCGCGATACTCGTGACCGAACGACTCGGTTCCGGACACGGCTAGACTTAGACGATTTATCAAAACATACTCGGTTTCGATTATTCGTCAACTGAAATAATCAATTCCGACTGAATAAAATCCATTACTAAAATCAATGGACCGGAATTAATAACTGAGATTGAATAGCTGATAACTGGGCTCGAAACTCAAGACGAGCAGTATTAATAAAAAGAAATAGTTCAACTGGGAACTAAAAATGTCATTTTTTTAATACAGAATTGGGCTATTACAGTCGTGAAGAACCATCGTCGATCGCTTTCCTCCTCGCAACTGCGAATCCGGAGAGCATCCCGTCAGGCCACGTGAACCAGTCGCCGTCGTCTTTCTCCACCGGTTCGCGAGCCCCCTCCGTAAACTGCTGTCCTGCGCCGCGAACGGAGACAAGCCGACGACGCACGATCAGACCCAACAGCAACACGATGAACTTCGCCCTCCGTTGCTGCAAGCCGCGAGCTTCCGCCGGCGAGTACGTGAGCCAGCTTCCTCCAGCGAACCTTGAACGTGCAGCCCTTCGGTCGAGCCGCCGCTGCTCTTCCCTTCCGCGAGACGAAGCTTGCCGTCGAGCCTCGAGCCGTCTTCGCGTGCCGTTCGTTCATCTCTGTTTCGCTCGAACGTTTAATCCCGAGAACGGTACAAGGCTCGACTCGTCCCGTTTAATTTTACGTCCTGTTTATAATATGTGTTTATTTGGTCGTCGAATGTGTTATGTGAATTCATGCGATAATGTCTAAGTTGTTTAGTGTTCATGAGAATTTTGATACATATATATATATTTGGCAAAGTGGATATCAAGTGATTGCCGTCACTTTGAATTATTGTCGAACTGAATATTATGTGGTTCGTTTCGTGGAAATCCTAGTGTTATAGGTTGGCGCCCCATCTGACAAATCCATTGGACGACTGAAAAACGGCATAATTCAAAGTACAGGCAGAAGGAAAAGAGCCTAGTCGGGCAAAGAGCCAAGCAGCGTATTCTGATTCAGATAATGAATGACTGACATTAGAATCTAGCGAACCAAGCGGGGATGATAATTTGAAGTAATATTAGGTTAGGTGGATTTTTTTATTCCTGCGATCGGACATTTCGCACGTATTTTGTCTATTTACCACTGCCCCTCGTAAGATGGTCGACGCACAAGAGCCTTATTTCAAGTTTTATGAGGCCTTCAATACCTTCGCCTTCGAATGTTTCTTTAAACCGGAGCTTGTTTCGCTGCCTTGAAGGAAGGTTAGTCCCACTCTATAATCTCACGACAGACCTTAAAGGTTCGCCGTTGTCATCAGCCGATCTTTTTAGCAACTTGTTATACCATGAGGCACTTGGAACAGATTTCCATGTGGGCACAAACTTTAGACCTTGGTTCAAAGGAATGGAGCTTATGTCGGGGACATACCGGGAGAGTAAAGGTTTAAAGTGTCTTCTACTGCTCCTGCAACTATTGACTTTCCCGTAGTTGATGCAAGAAAACCTACTCCTGAAGATGGACCTTCTCCTTACCTTGATTCCTCCCCGTTTGTCTTCCCTGGTTCTTAAACTCCTTCCTTTATGACTGAACTTCGCTTCGGAGCTTCGGGCAATTTCCCGAAGAAGAAACTACTCGAATAAGGGGTAGAATTAAGACAGATCAAATTAACGATATTAAGCATAATAGACATTTTGTTCTCGAAGATAATTACATTTTGATTCAGTTTTTGATATTAAGAAAAAGGAAGAAAGTCATGTGGTCATCACTGCGGCTGACGAGAAGGAAGCGGCTGCAAGAGAGGGAGAAGTCTCCGTGGATCCTGAGAGTCAAAGTTTGTCGATCGTAGTCAACAAAGACAGACATTGAAAGACGTTCACTTGGTCCACTCTTGGGAGAGTACCTTTGTTGACTTCCTTGAAACCGGATTGAAAAAAATCGCAAACAAAGAGTCAATTTAGGTAACAAAGAGGAAAGTCCAATATGGCGTGAGATTCAGTGCTTACGTCTACTTTCGAGTCATGCAACTACTGTATGACTATATGTTGAACATCTGTAAAGAGATTTCTAGAACTCGAGAGAAGTTAGTCAAAGTATGCCCAAACGAATATATCTTACGAAATTTCATTAGCCTTTCCTGAATCACAACGGGATAAGAGATGGTTGGATTGAAATGCTGCTGGATAGGTTCGACAAAGTTGAGGAAGCGAAGCGAACTGAAGTCAAGATTTGGAAGGCATGCAGCTAAACGAGCCAGTAAATTAGCTCCGAGCTATAGGAGTTAATCAACCAACCCGCTTGTGTCTGCCGTTTCTGAACGTTCACTTTCCATGTCTGATGGTTGTGGATAAAGATAAGGGGTCAAGTCCTTGATTCCATGATGTAATACCCCATGTTTTAGTAAGTCAGTAAAAATTATTTACCGCAATAAAAATTTATTTACCGCAGTAAAAAGTTGTAAGGTAAATCAGTAAGAGTGATTAATTTGGTATAGATAATACGTAAAGTATTTCAAGATTTAGTTAAAAAAAAAATCATAATCGAGAATAGTAGAGATTATAATAAAATCTTCGATTTTCAATCGTAAATGAAATTTAAGTCCGATTTTGATTCCGAAAATTTTATTATTGATATCTAAATTTTATTAAGCATAAAAGTTTAGTTATTATGAATTTTTAAAGATTAAGAATAGCATAATTTTAATTAATTGTGAATTTTCACAATTTATGCTATTATTAGAAAAATAAAAGTGTTTATGTTATTTTTAAGCATGTTTTTCCTCATTAAATCATTTGTAAATGATTTATATATTAGAGATATTAATATAAGTTAAAAAAAAAATTGAAATTTATTTTCTGATTTTATTAGAAAATTCAAAATTAAAAAGAAAAATAAAAAAATAAATTGTGGAAATTATTTTTATTTTGTAGAATCTTCATCATTTGAAGCATCTTAATTTTTATATTAATGATGACTCATTTTTATGTTATTTTATGCAATTGATTGAGCTGATAAATTTAATAATATTAGTCAACTAAATCAAAAATTAAGAGTGGGACATTATTTAGCATATTTGTTGAAGAAATTAGTATTTTAAATGATATTTAATTCAGTTTTGGTGCTATTTGTCCCCTAAAACTTTTCCATAAATAGGAGCATTCATCAATGGTAGAATTACATCACAAAAATTCAGATTTTTATGTTATAGGAAAAATAAATAGTAAGAATCGAGTTTTTAAGAGAGAAACCGAGCAATTTCAAGAAATACTTGGAGCAAGTTTCTTTTCTTATAAATAGAAGAGGTATGCATTCAAACTTTGATATCATCAATTATAGCTAAGAGTTATAAGTGTTTATATGTGATTTTGATATGTTATCATGTTTAGAAATTATAAATTTTATATATATAAGTATATAAAATAAGATTATAAAGTAAGATTATTTAAAGTTCATGTTGCAGCTCCTTATGTTTGTTGTTTTAAATCAAGCTATTAAATTCCAAAAATTATGAAACTTTTTATATGAGCTCATCATTATGCTGAGAATAATACTGGAAACTTTTAGATTATTTGAAGTTAAAATGAATTTTATAAAAATCATTGATTAAGGTGCTATCCAGTGAAAAATCTGTGTAGTAATGATGACTTGTAGTATTTAATTACACTACCTATTTATATTATTTTGAGTTGAAAATTTTAGGGTCAATATATATTAGTTAAGAACTTCCAGTTTAAATTTTATCTTTATTGGACTTGTTTAGCATGAGATATAGATTTTTAAAAGCAAGCATACAAGTTAGTTGAATATTTTGTTATATTTTCAACTTTGAAATAATATATCTTAATATATGAGTATTATTTTAAAGTGAAATTTTTATGGTAACTTTATATATATGTGGAGAGTACATATGTTAAAGTTAAGCTTAAAATGAGTTGAATTGAGTAATTACTAAAATTATAGATAAAGCATGTTAATATGATTTTAGTATGAAATTTCTCATTATAATAATTAACCTGCACAAACTAAACCAATGGACATTGAACTTTCAGCAAATGCATCCTTCCACCACAAACAGCCCAAACTCCTGCAACAATCACAAACCAAGCTATGGAAAAGATCTACAACCAGAGTGGGAAGGCTCTTGAGACAAGACACTAAATCACCACAGTCCACTACATCCATTAGTGGGAAAAGATCTAGAGCTGATAAAGAAGTTATAATCCCAGATCAAGAAGAACCTTCTCTCTCGGACAGTAAAGAGGATAACAAAAAACTGAAGATTCTTTCCGGAAAGGTGGGGGTGGCCAGCCTCGAATGGCACCCAAGTGACAAATGTTAGCCGTGGTGTGGAACTGTAGAGGGCTGGGTGGGCCCTCTACGGTTTCCCAAATCAGAGAGTCTATCAGGACTCATCACCCAGTTTTCCTATTTCTATCTGAAACAAAAAAACAAAATGGCTTTGTTAAATCTGTAATTAGAAAGCTAGGTTTTGATAATAGATATTTTATTGTTGATCCCTCAGGTAGCAGAGGAGGCTTATTACTTATGTGGTCCATGGATGCTCAAATTCATAACATCACCAGCTCTGATTTCTATATAGCGGTGGAATTTTCTACTGATCATGTGAGCAAATCCTGGGGTATTTTTGTATATCTGAACACTTGTCCTCAAATCCGATCAGAGCAAAGGGTGCATCTTCAGAATGAGAGACACAGTTGGGGAACTAAGTGGTTCACAATAGGGGACTGGAACGACATTCTTTCCAGTGATGATAAAAGAGGGGGTCTCAAAAGGCCTGAGCGCAGCTTCTCCGGATTTAAAGACTTCATCAATGCAATGGAGATGGATGAAATCAAGATGGAAAGACATGGCTTTACTTGGTGCAATAACAGACTTGCAGAGGGCATGGTAGAGGAAAAGCTCGACAGAGGATTTGGATCCTTCGACTGGTTCTCAGAATTCCCAAATGCCACTATATCCACGGTGGCCCGCAGCGGTTCTGACCACTCAATGCTCATGCTCAGACAAGGGACCAAAAGGGGAAGAACCAAACATCATTTCCATTTTGACAAAAGATGGCTCACTCGAGCAGATATTCAAGAAGTGGTCGAGAAGGCATGGTCCATACATACAAATGGTACTCCCTTCTTCCAGCTGAAAGAAAAAATCAAGAACACTAGGCAAGCTTTGCTTATCTGGAGTGCCAACTTCAAAACTCAAAACCAGACTCTCATTGAAAACCTCTCAAAGAAGCTAGAAGCTTTGCAAGAAAACAGATTGACTGAAAATTGGGATTCTTGGAATGCTACTAGGAAAGATCTGGAAGCAGCACACAAGAGGGAAGAAGTTTTTTGGCAACAAAAGGCAAAAGCACATTGGCTCAGAGAGGGTGACAGAAACACCAAATTCTTTCATGCATACACCATATTCCAGAAGAAGACAAAATGCAATATCCAGGCTTCTCTCTAGCAACAATAGAGTCCACACCACTCAGCAAGAACTTCAAAATCATATCTCTGAATTCTATGCCAACCTATTCACATCAGAAGGATCTTGGGGAGGGGACACTATGCTTCACCACATTCAGCCCACAATTACCTCAGAGATAAATCAGTCCCTTCTCAAGCAGGTTGATGAGGAAGAAATCAGAACAACTCTATTCAGTCTGAGTTCAGATAAATCCCCGGGAGAAGACGGTATGACAGCCATTTTCTATCAACACTTTTGGCAATTGATCAAAACTGAACTTATTGCTGCCATCACTAGTTTTTTTCATGAGAATGGCTCCTTGCTTAAGTACTGGAATCATACCATTTTAACCCTAATTCCTAAATGCTCAACTCCAGAAACTCTTTCTCAATATAGACCAATCAGCCTATGCACTGTAGTGTACAAAATTTTATCAAAAATTTTAGCTTTGAGGCTGCAATCTTGTCTAGACATTTGTATCAGCTCCTCTCAATCTGCTTTTCTAAAAGGGAGACAACTCTTTGACAATGTTATAATAGGACAAGAGGCCTTTCATTTTTTGAACAGACACTCTTCAGGGAAAAATCACTTTATGGCTTTGAAGTTAGATTTGATGAAAGCATTTGACCGTGTTGAGTGGATCTGTATAAAAAAAATCATGCTTAGAATGGGCTTCAAGAAGGAATTTGTGCAGCTTATTATGATCTGTATATCATCAAGCTCTTTCTCTTTTAAAGTCAATGGTACTGTTTGTGGCTATGTTACACCTTCAAGAGGAATTAGACAAGGGGATCCACTGTCCCCTTATCTATTTATCATAGTGGCTGAAATGCTCTCTGCTCTAGTTACTCATGCTGTTGAAACAGGGGAACTGACTGGCTTAAGGCTCTCAAGGAATGGTCCAGTGGTGTCACATCTGCTTTTTGCAGATGACTCTCTATTCTTCAGCAAAGCTAGTAATGATCAAGCCATCATCTTACTCAATCTCCTGGAAAGATATAGACTTTTCACTGGCCAAAGAGTTAACCTGCAAAAATCAGCAGCTTTTTTCAGCAGGAACACACCTCAATGTCTACAGAACAGCATTTGCACCACTTTACAGGGAATCACCTCACATAGATCCACAAGGTATCTGGGTCTCCCACTTGGAATAGGCAGATCAAAACTAGAAGCTTTCCAGTTTGTTATGGATTCAGTCAAGTCAAAGCTACAAAGCTGGAAATCAAAGCTACTCACTCAGGCTGGCAAAGAGGTTCTGCTAAAGGCTGTGATCCAATCTCTTCCTATCTTCTCCATGTCTTGCTTCAAACTCCCAGCTACTTTATGTGCAAATATTTCCAAGCTATGTGCTCACTTTTGGTGGAGCAAAGGGGAAGATCAGAGCAAAGGGATACATT